GTTCGTCAGCTAGTCCAAGATGTCAAGATTAGTGTTGGGTCTGTGATCATTCATGATCATCTGCATATGCTAAAGTTGTCTGCTCAGTGGGTTCCTAAGCTACTCACACCTTTCCAGAGTCCATTGTTTCAAGGTTCTTTTAGCCATATGCCAAGAAAACTTTTTTGACAGACTAATTATGCACGAAGAAACTTGAGGCCATTACTCCATCACTATAATCCAGAAACTAAGGCCCAGTCAAAGCTCACCACTCCCTGGAAAGGCAGCCAGGCAAGGTCGTGCTCACAGTCTTTTGGAATCAGCATGGATTAGTGATGATGAATTTCCTGGTAAAAGGTACTATAATTACAGGAGCTTTCTACGCTTCACTGCTACAGAAATTGCGGGAGGCTATCAAAATCAAGAAGTGTGGAATGTTGACCAAAGGTGTCTGCCTGCTACTAGACAACACCTTTGTTCACGACTCTCACATTGCCTAGATGGAAACACAGTCCTGTGGCTATGACATCCTTTCTCATCTTTCTTATTCTCCTACCTTGCATCATCTTATTTTCATCTCCATGAAGTCATTTTTAAAGGGCAAACGTTTTTAAGATGAGGAGACACTGACTTCTGAAGTCACACACACACACACACACACACACACACACACACACACACACACACACACACACACACACACACACACACACACACACACACACATACACACACTTTCTCTCTTTCTCTCTCTCTCTCCCTCTTCCTCTCCCTCTCCCTCTCCCTCTCTCTCTCTCTCTCTCTCTCTCTCGTTTCCTCTCTCTCTCTCTCTCTCTCTCTCTCTCTCTCTCTCTCTCTCTCTCTCTCTCTCTCTCTCTCTCTCTCTCTCTCTCTCTCTCTCTTTCTCTCTCTCTCTCTCTCATGCAATACCAACCAACATCCTCTTAAGCTACTGACACATTAAAGTACTTTTTAGATTTAGATGTGACCCCATAATAGCCAGGGGAGCACAGCGGTTATATACTCCATAGATTTTTTAATATCTAACACTGAACACTTTTCAAAAGGCTCTTGTAAATTTCTAGTATACACTTAGGTAAACTTTATTTATACTATGTTCTGTCTGAAAGTAATAAGGGTATACTCTGCTTACCTAATCCATTTTCTGCCTCAGGTGTCCCTACTTTGTAAAATTAAGGCTACATTCTTTACTGTAGGTTTCTATAGATGTATAAATAATGACCCTTAACTCAAAATAAATCTGTTTTAGCAGCATTTCTATGAAAATAAAATCTCACTGTTAAATGCATACCAGTGAATATTGATACACATTTTACTATTGTATATGAATCTGAATAATTTCAAGCAAAACCAATAAATAATTTTGACTGTATTTTTAGTGAGCTCCAACATAACAAACAGATCTTGAAAAGCCACTGAAGGCATAACAATACATTACCAACTAATCCTGATAAGACAGATTAACAGTCAGAGCAGTTTTGATAATTGCCAAAATAACAATAATATATATTAACCCATTGCCGCCGGGGAAAATGAACAAAAAATGGGGAAAATGCTGTGCCTATTTTCTATATTTTTTTGTGAAATGTCTGCCCATAGATGGCTCTGTTAGTGCCTGATTTGAAATGGCGGGAAAAATGTATTCTTCACTTGTGCCATGAATATCGATGGTGTTATTTTTATTATAAACATTTTAATTTTTATAATGTTTTTTAACATTAGTAACAGCAAAATAAGATAACGTAAAATATTTTGTAAATCAAAGAAAAGGGTGAATGGGTGAGACAGGCGGTAATCATAACTGGCTCATTGGTGATTTAGTACAAGTGTAGCCATCTATGTGTAAAAACAATCCAACAAGTAATCTCACAGTGGGCATGGCATGGCATGCCCATCAGGAATGGGTTAAGACTCACAGCTACTTCATCATCACAGGTTACATATCCAGAAAATAAATAACTTCAAAATTAAGGGAAAAAATGTACAGTACATTTTCAGCAATTTATTCATAACAAAAAGAGGTAACAGCACCATAAGATCAATAATAATTGTCAATAAATGTAATTTACAATGTAAACGTATATTTGTACAGCAACTGTATATCCTATATACATCTAAACAATTTGTTATCATCACCTAATAAAACCTAGTAAATGCATTTAAACAAGATGTCTACAAACCAAATGAAGACATCAATGACATCATGAACTTTCAAGATAAATGACGCTTCTGAGGTATTTCACTTTGTCTTCATAAGTACCAAGTGCCATGGAATACCACATGAAGTGTGGAATCTCTACCACAGTGTAGCCCAAGACTTCAAGGTGACGGCGCTGAAGCTGGTAACGACCAATCAACTGACGGCTGTTGATGCAGTAACTGTTTTCGTTGTGAAGAAGAACTGCAATTCTGAAATTTAAAAAAACACTATTATTACTCATCCAATCATATGACAACTTTATAACTGGCAATAAGGTCTTTAGCTAAAGCAAAACATGGTGTTCTGAAACTAAAAAAACAAAAAACAAAAAGGTTTACTGTACCTCCTGTATCCTTTTTTATTTTCAATTCTGTTTGCAATAAAACTTCCACTCTTATTGCCTGCAGGAGCATAAACAGACACTGGTACTGGATGATTATTTTCATCCAACATGAATTCAAAATCTGAAATTAAAGAGAAAAAATAGTCAATTGAATTCTCACATCAATTTTTTTTTCTTAGAATAAATTTAATTGTGGTTTCCTTCCTACTAATTCTTAAATGAGATAGAAACTCATCTCATCTTATACCCAAAATCTCAGGTTATTGGTACAAAATTTAGTTCATACTTTTAACATTTTCTTATTTCTTATGAAATACAATTGAACTTTCAGGAAAGGTCACAGAAAGTTAGCCTTATCATTAAAAATCATCTTTTACATTTCTTTATAGTGTAAGGATACAAATATCTATTAAAGGTTATTCCTCTAGTATACTTTTCAACATAATGACAATACACACTTACAAACATTTACACATGAGCTCTGATTATGGGTAAATTATATTAAAATTCACTGCAAACTGTTGTATAGAAATATGCTTCTTAGGTCATTACAGAATATAGATTATGAGAGAGAAAAGTGCACAGAAGGATAAAATGACCATAGGTCCCCCGAGTTTTCAAGTCACACAGGAACCCTAAAATTACTTAACAGCATTAGAAATTTGAGTTTCATTGCCCTTCATTTTCTGGTATATTTCTTTTGTAGAATTTCTATTAACATATTCAAACATCATAGCACAAACTGCATTAATAAAATAAGGCTTGATAACTTTTGTTATATGTAAAACAATTCTTTTCTGTTTATTATTACTAAACAGAACACAGAAGTCTCTACATACGTAAAAAAAAAATCATTTAATTTACTTAGCAAATAAATACTTACCTATGAGGTAGAAATAAGGTGTCTTAGCATTAGCCCTTAACACATCTGCATTACCAATTAGTTCTGACAACACTTGGTGAACTTCAGTGTGAAAGACAGAATCTTGTACAGCAACTGTTGATACAAATATTATTAAGTAGGTTTTTTTCCATTTTCATTAACATTAGTTTATTGCTTATGATCACTATTTCCTTCAATATTTCAAGGTTATAAGGCAAATACAATAACTGAATAAAGTTCTATATTCATACCAGTTTCAAGCAGCTCTTCACAATACTTCTCATGAAACCATGGAATACCTTCTTCTGGCTGATCAATGCATACAGCACGATTCAGTTCCATAAGCAGATGACGCACTCGAGAAGGATAGGAAGCCTTTAGAGCGAAAAAAAATTTACTGTAAACTAAAATATATGCAAAAGCATAGTTACAGCTGAAGTAATTTATCAAGCAATACCTGATTCACTCAATGGATGTACAGTAAAAAAATAAATAAATAAATGAACAAATATACTCAAAACACTGTACCTTTGAGTAACATGCATCTATTTCCTCATCTAGCTGGTCCAAGAATTTAATATTGAAGACATTATGGATCATTTTACTTGACAGGTGGTTGTGCAAGGCCAGAGATAAACACGCTTGCAGAGTATTCAGGCCTTGCAGGTAGTGAGGCCCTCTGAAATTAAATGTCAACTTTAAACCTTAAACTATGAGAAGAAACCTTACCTAGTAATATAACTTAATTACTTTGATATAATTTTTTACAAAGGTCATGCAGACTGTCTCTAAATATCACGGTTCCTGCTCAACCCCATTTTCTGTAACTTCCTTGTGTGAAAAAAGAACTATCAATAATTAAAAAACATCATCCACAAAATAGGCACATACAGAGACTACAAATGCAAAATGAATGAAACCGTTATACAATTATAACCAAAAAAAAAGTCTATATATTACAGTACTGCTCATCAAGTGCTTTCCATTGCTTGCCTTAATTCTATTAGCTTTCATCAGTTTTATCTTCCAATTTTTCATTTGAACTTTTATTATAATTACTACTTTTGAATACCTAGTTTACTTTCATTTCAGCCATACATCATTTCCTAACAACTCCATGCTACTGTCTTATTCTATCCAACTTCCTAATTAATGAAGAACTTATACTCTGTTTCATAAAGGACAATAAATTTCTATAGTCATATTTCATATCCATGTTTTTAAATCCCTCCTTTTTACTTTTACTCGATAAAGCCAACAACAAACATCTAGTCTAATACATACTTCTCCAAAACCCTAGTGCAGGCATCAAAAAATTTTCTTCCAGATGTGGGATGGTAGCCTAAGTAATAAATACAGGTTAGGATACGTTCTATCGTATCCTGCAGGACGTACTCCTCGTTTTCTATTATGTAGTCAGCCATGGCATCCAACAGCTGTCAAATTAAGGGTGTAAGATTAGCATAAAGTAATACAGGTACAAGACAATTATAATAATGTCTGAGAAAATTATTCTCACAAATGCTCAAAACTAAACTCATTACTTGATGTAATCGTACTAAATATTCTGCAAC